AACGCAAGCAAAGCCCACCAAAAATAACATGCAACTCTTTAGCGTTGGTCTCCACGGAAGTCTTTAGTAAAAGGCGAAAGACTTGTACGTGATGAACAGAAACCAGAGCCAGTGTGTGTACCAGTGCGGGAGCGGTCCACCAGGCTAGTTGGCCTAGCAATCTTCCCCATGGTCTGCTTTGCCTGCTAGTCAGGCCAGCTCTATTGTGTCTCCTTGGCTGGGAACGGTGGGGCGGGGTTTCTCCTCAATGGCTGCTGGTGGACAAGAAAATGCATTCAGAATGTTGCTATAGTTTCCAAAAAAATCCCCCCTTGTCAACAGGGAGGCCGACTGGTGCTGACAGTGTGGGGATGTGTGGTTTATCTGAGTAGAGAAAAACTGATATAGCCTCCTGACTACCAGTAGTTCAAATTTGTCCTCTGTGGAGGACATTTGTAAACCTTAATATCTCCCACCCACAGCATACTACTGCATTAACTCCTTTTGCTATCTACAGAGGACATCTCTGGCTTTTCAATGATACCAAATGTAAAAGGGTGGGGTTTGGTACCTTTCACTCCTCATTCTGGAAAATGGCCGCCGTCAGTTCGAGCACATTTTATGGGAAAAGGAAAAGTAAGTGCAAAATACTTTTTATTGAGCAAATTTTGGCTCTAAATGTTGCTGGCATATTTTATATAAGTCACTTAAGAACACATTAAAACATTTTTTGAATTATTTTAGTTGTATTTTAGCATAGTATTTAAGTGTTTAAGAAATGTCCTCCGTAGTGGACATTTGTAGTTATTTTTTCTATTTTGTTCTGTTTTTTTCAAATGAAAAGAAAGGGAGTCATTCTCAGAAGCAGAGGATTTTACTCCGAATAGTTTATGGAAACTCAGATATTGAGTTGTCTGATGAAGGAGAGCGAGATGCAGTGTTTGAGCCAGAAGCAGAGGAAGATGAGTCAGAGAGCACTGAGGATTAAACTCAGGCAGGGCAAACAGAGGCAGAGGAGTCAGATCAAGCAGAACAGTCCAGTCGGCATCCACTGTGGAGCAAGAATTCAAAGTACACAATGAGTTTTTATTAAAAAACATTAACTTATTTTCTCTAAAGATTGAGACTCATTTTAATTTAGTTTTTCTCCCTTTATTGGTTTTCTTTAGATTCAAATTCCAACTTGATTATCCTCCCATTATTCAGAGCAATGATGCCACGACACGCCAACACTGGACCCCAATGGATTATTTTAAGCAGTATTTTGATGACTCTGTGTTTGAAGAAATCGCCCTCTACACAAATCAGCGTGAAGTCCTTGTGTCTGGAGCAACACTAAATACCACTCCTGAAGAACTGAAGACATTATTTGGGAATTCTATTTACATGAGCTGCCTAGGATATCCAAACATTCAAATGTATTGGGCCTCAAATGCCAGAGTTCAAATTGTGGCAGAATCCATGACCAGAAATCGGTTTTACAAGCTGAGAAAGTCCATTAAGATTGTCAATGACCTTGATGTTTCGGACGCTGAAAAAACTAGTAATCTCCTGTGGAGAATCAGGCCCCTCTTGACCAAAGTGAGGCAAGGATGTCTGAATCTGCCTAGAACAGGAAAATTGTGCATTGACGAGCAAATGATTCCTTTTACTGGTCGATGCCCAGTGCGCCAGTATGTTCCGGGGAAACCACACCCAACTGGATTGAAGGTGTTTGTCTTGGCCGCACCAACCGGTCTGGTCTTAGACTTTGTGGTCTACCAAGGCAAGACTACCTTCACAGTCACAGAAGGAAAGGGCATCGGAGAGCAAGCTGTTCTTCATCTGTGAGAGTTTGTTCCCCAAGGAACCCACCTGTTCTTTGACAGGTTCTTCACCACAATCAACCTCCTTGACACTGATGGCAAAAGGGCTGACAGGGACTGGAACCCTCATGAAAAACAGGGTGCCAAAGGATTGCAAGATCATAGGGGATAACCCCTTCAAAAAGAAAGGAAGAGGGGCATCAGAGATGGTAGTCAGATGAACCCCTCCTGAACTTGCTGTCATAAAGTGGTTGGACAACAAGCCAGTTGCCATGGCATCCTCTGCCTATGGCATTGAACCTCAGGACACACACAGAAGATGGTCCAAGAAAGACAAAAGGTTTGTCCAGGTGTCAAGGCCACTGGCAATTGCTGAGTACAACGCCAACATGGGGGGTGTGGACTCGGTTGATCGAATGTTGAGTTTCTACAGGATGGCCTCTCGCACTCGGAAATGGACAGTGCGTGCAGTTTTCCACTTTTTTGACCTGGCAATCACCAACTCCTGGCTTCAGTATAAGAGTGACCGCCAGTTTCTGGGGAAGAAACCACTGAAGTTCCTTTATTTCAAACTGCTCCTTGGTGAAGGCTTGATTACTCGGGCCCAAGCAGGAGTCACAAGTGACAGTGAAGATGACTACACTCCCCCACGTCAAAAGTGGAAACCGCAGCCAAATGCAAGTCTGAGGCACTATGGCGCAATCCATCTTCCAGAGATGGTGGACGAAACACATGCATCAAGGTGTCGCAGATCCGGCTGCAGGAGCAAAACCTACGTGATGTGCACGAAGTGCAAGGTGTTCCTTTGTGTTTCCAAGAAGGGGAATTGCTTTTTGAAGTATCATACCAAATAAGCACAAGGCAAGACAAAACAAAACAAAGGTGATGATGGACAGTTATGTGGATGTTAAACCCTGGTATTTTCTTTGGGACTAACTGATTACCATCAAGGTTCAGTTTCACATACGGCGTTATGATGTCCCCTGTGGACACATGATATCTTCAATGCACAACAAAGCAAAAAAACAAAACTGATGTTGGACAGTTATGTGGATGTTAAAAAATCATTCTTATGTTGACTTTTTGATATTTTCTCTGGGACTAACTATTTGCCATCAAGGTTCCTTTTCACATGTATGGCGTTCCAATGTCCACTGTAGTGGACACATGATATCTTAAAAATAAAAATATGTTTTCAGTATTCTAATTACCTTACAAAGATTGGGGAATTAAGAGAAAAATGTAATGTGACAATTTTTTTCCCCCTGGTAGTCAGGAGGCTATGACAATATTTAAAAAAACAAAAAAACAGCACAAATATTATACTAGGTTTCCATTCGAGCAAGATTATGCTGTATCTGAAGTGTATTTTAATCCTTGCAGAATGTCAGTCCTACAACTTTGAAAATGATTTTTATAGATGTGAAGGACGCATGGGAGGGGAAAAAACCATATGTTCTCCTTTCCAAAATTGGGCCCTTCAAAGTGTTCTTTCGGGACATATACAATACTGGACCACAAAGAGAACTGGAAAGCGAGGTGAGGTGGTAACATTCTTTTTTCTGGAAAAGGTTCATGTATTGAATATACTTTTTAGTCAGGCACACAAAATTTGCATTAACTTTGTTATTTCTAAATATGTTTTTGAACCTTTCATTTTCAATTTCAGGTTATCAATGCATATCTGTCCCTGCTTATTAAAAAATATAATGACAACAACGCAGACAGGGCATGTGCCGTGGACACTTTTGAAATGACCCGCGTTTGGGAAGGACTGAAACCCGAAATTAAAGGTATTAAAAATTATGATCTCAGGTTAAAGTACAAATTAATACATCACAATATGCATTAATCACCTGGCATTTTTTATTTAATTATCTTACAGATAGTCCCACAGCTATACAAGTTAATCGTCGGCATTGTCAATGCGGGTCAGCATTGGATGCTGGTGGTAATTATTTTTTAAATTTTAAGACTTGATGGTATTGGGTTTTATATGTATGTATGTATATTTAAACATAGTGTATGCATGTGTGTGGATGGTTGTGTGTGTGTATACATACTGATGCAGTCTGCATTTTATTGCTGAAAAACTATAACTATAGTATTACAGTATCTTTATTAATTTTTGACACTATATTTAGGTGATCTTGCCAGGAGACAAAAAAACAGTTTTTCTAGATCCACTGGGTGAAAGAAAAACCTCAATAAACCACTGCAAGGATGTTACAAGGTAATTTTGCATGAAGTCATCTTTATTTTATTAGAGTGAAGTACACGTTAAAAAAACAACAACTATTACTGTAATTAATGGCCAGCGCTGTGGAATTTAAGGTATGTTTACATAAAAAGATGTTAAATGTGCCAATATTACGGAGCACCCTAGGGGACATGGGGATTTTTTTTTCTTTTGCGTTCGCTTGCAATACTTTTACGTTACCTCGCAATATTTTTGCGTTCCCTAACGCAAACGTTTGAGGCAGTGTTACGGAACCAGACGACAATGGAGCAGACAGTACAGTCGTACTGTCTGCTAAATGTTAGTTATGTTAGCTTTTTATGTTTATTTTTACCTGTACAGCACTTTGGCAACTTCGGTTATTTTAAATGTGCTCTATAAATAAAATTTGACTTGACTTGACTTAAAGCCTTTTAGATAGCAAACAGACCGCCGGATCCATCCTCCCTCTCATAAGGACTTGACCCATTTTATCAAAAGGAATCATCAGAACAGAATACACACGGAGGAAACATTCCAAAACATCATCTCTGCTTTTACAAAAAAACGGAACTTAAAAGATCATTTGGGCATTTATAAAATAATCCATTAAGGAGCCCAGCTAGACGATTCCCTTGAAGATGTTGGCATCATCATCGAAAAGTGCACCGTCTTGCAGGTTTCAGTGGAATGTAATAAGACAGTGTGTGTGGATTTAAGAAAAGAGGTCAGAAAATTAAATCAATCAAGTTTAAGAGTTTCATCTGAAGCTACAAACTGCCAGAAGTCAAAAGTCAGGACGTTGGTGGGATGGTGGAGACAGAAGGCCTCTGTGGCCCATTGCGTGGGCCCTTGGTCTGCAGTGGAAACCAGCACTACAGGATGAAAACCCTGGACTCTGTTGTGGCCACCGTCACCTGCTCAGCTCCCTGACACGCTATGTCACCATCTGAAACAGTTATTAATGCCTCCCAGTGCTCACCCACCTGTTTGTCAGTGTGTAAACATGAAACCTTTTCAATCTAGCAGCTCCTCCTCTGACTACTCTGGTGAAGAGGGGGCGTTATTTATATAACTATAGTTAATTCCTCAAAATCCTTTTTCTAATTCTGAATTGGGTGCATAGCAGTTTATTAGTCTGATTTCTTTGTTATAATTCATATTTAATAATCTACCAATATCATGTATTTGTCTAATATTCATTAAATCATCATCTTTCATTAGTATTCCCTCTCCACTGGTATCGTTTATCCCATTAGTAGGATATAATTTTCCTTTTCCGAAGTTGTATTTTTTCTATTGAATTCCCATTCCATTACGTCTCTAGCAGGAATATTATATTATTATTTATATTCATAAGAAAATCCTCTTTTTTTATTGCTCCTTAAACTGGCTACATAAAGCAGATAAGGTTCAGCTTTGGATGAAGATGTGCAGTCAGCCCTTAGCTCATTTTCTTTGCTTTTGTTTTACTTTTGGCTAATTGTTCCAGGCTCGTTCTTGTTCACATCTGTATGAGCTGACCCTTCATTTCAGAGTCAGAGCTGGGAGGGTTCAGACACATTTTGGGGTGAGTAGTAGGATGCATTCTTTGCTGAGAGGGGCTCCCTTTCTGGCTCATTTGCTCTTCTCAACAGTGGATGCAGCTTTGTTGTTGGTTGTTTCTGGGGGTAAAATCTCTGTTTCTTTGGTCTTCATCCTCCTTCTGCTTTCTGCTCCCCTCCATCTGAGCCGGAGCCCTCTCTGTGCCAGCTCCACAGCGTGGTCTTTAACCTCCGGGGTAGTGCCCATTTTCTGACCACTCCCCGTCAGATCGAGGGTTGGACCCATTTTTGGAGCCCTCCCTACCTCTGAACCCCGTTCCAGCTCATTGTGAGCTTCATCAGCCTCCAGGCTGCTTTCCTCTGGTTCTGGAGCTTTGGGCTCCTCCTCTCCCAGCTCATGCTGAGACTCCTCCATACTGGAATGTGGCTCGCTCTCTTCACTCTCAGCCACACACACATTTACTGATCAGATGGCAGCAGACTGCACATCTCCCTCCACCCTCCCTCCTGCATAATGTCCATGTCCTCCACTGGTGACCGTTAAAGTTTGGGCCCTCTCTGACCAGATGTCCCGTCTGCAGACATATTCTGCACACTTCCACCTGTCTGTCATCTATCACTCTAAAGAGCTAATGTCCTTTTGCTGTGTTACATTGGGCAGAGTATGGGAGAGACTGCACAGCTTCTGTAAACCTTAAACTCAGGAATCTTGTTCAATCCGCTATCCATCTTTCCAGCCACATTCTCCTTTTTATTCTAGACACAGCTTCCACTCACCAGCCTCAGATTATTTTTACAGTATTTCTTAATCTTTAATGTAAACAGGAAGGTTTAGAAATGACACAACTAACAAGTTTCCTCCCTGTAATTGTATTTCAATCCATCCATGAGCTTTTCTTTTGCTCTTTCATTAGTCAACATTATTTCAGAGGCCTGTGGACCTAATGGCCGACATCCAACTATTCCTCCACAAACAAGTCTAATGCTCTTTAACAGTTGATCCATTGAAGTGTTTTCCTCACCCTCTTCTTCTATTAACATCATCAGATCTTTTTCATATTTGATTTCTCTCACAGTCAATCCGGATTGTTTTCCTACCGAATCCTTTGGGCTATTTTCTTTGTCCTGTTCAGAGTCCATTGTCATCACCGAGTGGTCCATCCTGTAAAGAAAATTGGAACAAAAAATGCCTCCCCACAGATGATGGGGAGGGATAGAATCCACCCAAAAACAAACATGTTTCATTTACCAAAAACAAAACCCCCAAAATGAGCCAAAGCTCCCCACAATCACAAAACTCACAGGTGTTGTCATTAGCAGATGTGTTCAGTGTCGCTTGGAAATCAGACGCACACAGGCTGGTATGGCTGTAAGCTGCACAGCACCTGGCACACGGGCTATTTAGACCTGAGCAACTCACAAAAGTTGGCTGTTGGCTCCAAGATAAAATGCAGGACCCTAAACGGGGGACTGGTCATAACTTGGCTTTTCTGATAATCCGCAGCAAATAAGGGGAGCCGCAAAGTACAATTAAACTCCAAAGAATGAGAAAAAGCTTCCAGCACCTGGTCTGCCGATCCAGACTTCTTTTTTTAAGTCTGATCCCACAAGAGCATTAGCATCTCCAAACAGACAGGTCTGTGTCCTAACCATTAAGCTGTATCAGTAAAAAAATAAACTAAATAACTAAAGATTAAAGCTAAATAACTTTAATCTTTAAAACATGCTCTGACAGGCCGGGATCGGATCGGAAGTGCAAAAAGCTGGATCGGGACATCCCCAAGCTGCACAACAATTTCCAAGCTTCACTGCAGTATGTAGAATCTGCCTGGTCAGACATCAACATCAGAGGCATTATTTGAACACTGTGGTCAGGTGGAAATCCCTTTCTGCTACAGAATTAGTTGAACCACTTGAGTGGCACTTGTTCAGGTGCTTTCTAACGCCAGAAAAGCTGCCCAAAGAACGTGGACACATTTCAGATGAAGATTCCGGCCGGTCCAGAGAGTATGAGTTACCTTAAGGTGCTTTATAAGGCTGTTTGGACTCCCCTGGTCACTGCAGAGAAAACACCTCATTGTCTGATCCAAGC